CCGCTGGCCATGTAGCATTTCTATTCATTTGTCTCCCAGGTCTGTCAATGTTGGTGTCCGCCCTTTTCCGGTGGCCATGTAGCATTTCTACTCATTTGTCTCCCAGGTCTGTCACTGCTGGTGTCCGCCCTTTCCGCTGTTTTCACTTGTCTTCCAGGTTTGTCACTGGTGGTGTCCGTCCTTTTCCGCTGGCCATGTAGCATTTCTATTCATTTGTCTCCCAGGTCTCTCGCTGCTGGTGTCCGCCCTTTTCCGCTGGCGACGCAACATTTCTATTCATTCCCCAATCAGTGTACTTTTAGGGGTTCTCAATTCTTTCTTAAAACGTGTCCGCCCTTTTCCGCTGGCCATGCAGCGTTTCAATTCATTTGTATCAAAAGTGGCTTCTTTACTTTTGTCTCCCAAGTTCGGTGTGCCCTGCCAGTGTCCACCCTAATCCCCGAATCCGCTGGCCATGCAGCGTTTCTATTCATTTGCCTCCCATATGATTTGTTTACTTTTATTTTCCAGGTTCGGTGCCTGCGCTGCTGGCCTCCGCCCTTTTCCCCTTTCCAGCATTTCTATTCATTTGTCTCCCAGGTGGTTTCTGTACTTCCCCGAACAGGTTATATACTGTTAGGGGTATTCAAGGCCTTCTGAGAGTGTCCGCCTTGCTGCGGGACAGCGTGTCCGCCTTCCGTCCGGCTTGTCTCCCTTTGTCTCCGGTCTTGTCTCCCTTCTTGTTGGTCACTGTGTCCGCCTTGTCCCCTTCTGTTACCTTTGTCTCCCTTCTTGTCTCTGTTCTTGTTGGTCACTGTGTCCGCCTTGTCGCCATTGTGTGCGTCTTGTCCCCTTCTGTTTCCTTTTGTTTCCCTTCTTGTCTCCCTTCTTGTTGGCCATTGTGTCCGTCTTGTCTCCCTTCTGTTTCCTTTTGTCTCCCTTCTTGTCTCCCTTCTTGTTGATGTCTCAAAATGTGGACTTGGGAATGCTTCGTTGTTGTCCCACCTGTTTGGGGTCTACGGTGGTGTAATTTTTAAAGACGGGGTAGGCCGAGAAGAGGTAGCTAGGCAGCTAGTAGAAGCTAGGTAGCTAGTACCTTACTAGTACGCTACTTGGATGGACGCAGGATAGCTCACGCTTCCTTGAAGAAGCGTTCGCACTATTCATTTGGTTCCTAGATTTTTAGACACTTAAGATGTTTTTTGTTGTGATTGCCTTGCAAAGGCCTTCTTCGATGGAAACCAGGCACTCCCCTCAACGAGACTCAGCAGCTGGCAGTCGACCATGAAAAGATGCATGGCTGCAAAGCAAGAGACACCCGAGTGCAGCGTAGTAGACGAGATGAGCCTAGTAAGGTTTGAACTCGCCTTCCACCCAGGTTGTGGTGGATTGACACCTTTGCTTGGGCCTGAACCTCAATCCTTTCTGACTTTTGCAGGTGGCTGTTTTTGTCCACAGATCCAATTGACATTGACAGAAGTGAAAAGAAAAGGCTGGTTTCAAAACGTTATTTCTTCCTTTGTGTGCTATAGAAACTAAGGACAACAGAGGCAACTTGTGGCTAACAAGTAATCGCCTCAATTCCTGGTTCTTTCGAGATGTGCCTTGTCGGCATTCCAGATGGACTTCTCAGCTCCACGCTGCTGAGTGCAAAAGTGTCAGGTAGTGCCTCCAGCCATGGACTTCACAGGAAGTTCCGGTGCGAACTTTCGAATTCTGAAAATTCCCGTTGGTAGCAACTCTTACATGTACAGGAAGAACTAGGTCCGTTCCCGTATTCTTAGTACAGTGCTTTTGGTTGCGTCCTCGTGATGCACCTCAGGATGTAATTCGGTAGACGGTACTACAGTAATTCGGTGATAAATCTGTAAAGACAAAGCGAAACACATGTTGCCTGTACAGTGGTATGACGTGAGGTTATTGCCGTTGTGCGCACAGGACGCGCATATTTCATTCCAAGACTGCCAATTCATTTGGACACAAAGCCGGTTTGGGCAAGTAGCAAGCTGTAGCCGTGCTGCAAACTGTGGATTATTCGAATTGTAGACACTTGCCGGTTGTCCATGTCCTGCTTCTTGCTGCGTGCATACCTTGTCACAGCATTGAATGGACATTGAGCACTGGTGAGCAAGGAGTGAACAGAGGAATTTAGACAGAGCCTGTGACAGAGCCAAAGTGGTATCATGCAAACAGCCCTGGAGTTCTAGAAGACCTGGACTTCAGCATATCAGAAAACACCTACGCAGAGAAGCCGGTTTGTGATGCAAACTTTGGAGTCATAGGAAGCAGGGGACTGAGTGCGGCTCTTTGGACATGCAGAATTGTGGTACATCATGACAGCAACTGTTGCTTTTGTTTGCACATTTTGGTTTGAGCAGCTAATTCAACATGAACTCTACAGGATTTAGTAAAGTGAAAGCTTGAATTGCTCATGTTTCACAAGTCTGCAGGTTCAACCGTCCATTTGCCCTGCCAAGCCTATCCGACGGTGGTGGATGCCACTGCACCGAAGAGGAGATGGTGAGTTCCACAGCTTTTGAAGTTAAGTTATTGCATGAGAGGGAGTCCAAGGCAGAGCCAAAGAGAATCAAGTTACTAGTAGTAAGGCACTTGTTTCTACTAGCTAACATTGTTCCTAGTAGTAAGGCACTTGTTCCTAGTAGCGATGCACTTGTTCCTAGTAGCGTGGCACTTGTTACTACTAGTAAAGCACTTAAGCAAGTCTGCACCAAGTTCGAGGCTTCCGTCCTTCGACTCACACTTTGGGGGCGTTCTGGATGTGCAACAGGCGGGATCAGCGCCTGGAAATCACGAGAATTCAGTGTGGCGGCGAAGTGCATATTGCTCAGATTGCTGACTGGATAATTCTTGGATAGTCTTAGTGAGGTCGATTGGGTGTCTTGGTGTTGCTGTTTTGATCCCAGGCTCCAGATGCAAAGACTGTGGCATTGAAACTCACAAAGCCAGCGACTCTTGTTGCCAGGGAAGAAGCCATTGACTAGATGTTGTCACCGTGCAAGCTTGCCTCTCCGTGCGAACTTGAGGTGACGAGTGGAAGTGCAAAGCTTTTTGATGGACAAGCATAGGCAAGTGCTTTTGCACAATCACATAGGTTGTTGGCTGGTCCTTCTAGATTGGAAGCGTTTCAGGTGAGCATGTTCAGGGCTTGTGTTGTGGTGAAGTTTCTGAACAGTTTGGCTTGAGACTTGAGAGTTGGAAACATGCAATGGCTGGCTTCTTGAACTGTGAGTCTATAGTTTGGGCCCCCTTCACAGGATCGGATCCTTTGCTTGTCCACTAGGCAGGAAACTACACATATATATATATATATGCTTTATGCAACAATGAGCCACTCATTCATGACGCCTGGCCCAGGGGATCAACCAAGGTGACGCGACGAACCTTAGCCGTGTGCACTAAAGGACGTGTAGCGGTTTGCAACGAATCATGCGCATTCGCGGGGTCGGTTGGGGGTTTGAAAAGCAGGCATTCCCAGCAATGGTGCCAGTTTGGCAGGGTGTGCGCCGTGCGCATCCGTGCAAAGCCTCTGTAGAACCTACGGGTGCGAAAGTAGGCGACAGAGTTGGCTGCTCCGGTGAGGACAGCTTTGGTGTGGGCTCCTTCGGACACAAACAAAGCGCACACAAAGCAAACATGCCTTTTCTGAGCAACGGCCTTCAACCTAATTGCCATCGCCTCCAACACCCAATTGCACATGCCTTTTCCGAGCAGCGCCAAGAAGCGAGTTGCCCAGCGTCTTGACGGTCACTGTGGTTAAATTCCTCGTGAAGCAGGATTCTTCAGTCCAAGACTCTCGAACTTTGTGCTCCACAAGTCACTTGCAACGTGACCAACCTAAACCATGCGAAGGGCGACAATTCTTGCCATTTTAGAATTTTAGTGCCTAAAACCAGTCTGAAACCCATCTGTGCCAAGGCTCTTTGCCGGCTTCACAGCATGTGCCTTTAACACATACACTGATAGTATCTATATCTATATATCCATGTCTATATCATATAAGACTATTACTAGACTATTACTAGACTGCGTAACGTAGCATCTCGCAGCTAAGCTCTCTCGCGTGTGCCTGGCGGTTGAAGGCTGCCGTTTATATCATTAATGTTTGCTTGTTGGAGGATATGCAACGATCGCTTTAGCAACCAGATTCTGCCACATTTCTTTTGTTCACAGAAGACCCAACCACAAGAGGGTTGCTAAGTGCGTGGCCGCAGGTGCAGTGGTTGTTGGCCGAGACATGCTTCAAAGACTGTGTCCAGATCATGTGCGCGATATAGTGTTATATCATGCTCAGACCTGAGTGCAGACATTTACTGTCCATGACAGAGTTTTCATGTTTGGGCTTTCCAGGTGAGTGCATCTCCAATCCAGGAGAACCGCAGCCGAAGCGGACCAAAGGAAACGGCATAGTGGGTACATGTGCAGTCTAGCCGAAAGCTGCTAGTGCTGTGCCATGGACCAGAAGAAGGACACTTACTCTTCTGCATTCAGCCCGCGAAGTGGCACAGCTACTGTGGACACAGCAACATTGGTCGCTGGCTTGTACAACGAATGCTCAAACGGAGTCGGTGTTTCACTTTCGAGCTTTTGCCACCTCCTGGCCCACCAACGCCTTGTCTCTTGGGACTTTGACCACATGTCAGTCCTGGAGACTTTCCGATCGCAGACGGGAGTACCTCATTTCGAGGATACTTTGGACTCGATGCTCATTGATTCCAAACAGCTGCGACAAGCTCTGCAGGCTTTGGCGGTGCACTTCTATGGGGCAAACTACGGCCTCAAGGAACGTGAACCAAAGCTTATCGATCGTCAAACTTCGGGAGCCAGTGAAACTCCGTCCATTGTTGAGAGACGGAACAGTGGCACCAATCGAACCTTTGCCATGGAGGCTTTGTACAAGATCCAAGCGCTGCAGGATCTTCTCCGAGATATCAGTATCCGCAATGCAGAGATTCCTTTTGAGTTGAAATCGGTGGATGAAAGACGGACTGTCTTCTTTCAAGAACAGGTTGTTCAAAGTGCTTACGAATACGAGCACGCTTTGAGAAAACTCTTCTCTCAATATGAATCTGTGAGCACCCAAGGGCAAAACATTGTTGAGGAACGTTTGCAGCGGACTGTCACTGCTCGTTCCCTATACCGACTCGCACGAGCGGTACGACTGGTTCCTGATTGTATCGCTCCAGAGGACTTCCATGAGCTTGTTCAAGCGCTTTACACTCGGAGCCCTTCCAAGACAGAAGAGCAGCGTTACTTTCAGGAAATGACTTTGCTCCAGCATGATCAGGAAGCTGATACCACATGGCTTCAGCCACCCATTGACGAGATACCTGGCGAACCACGTTTCTCTTTTCCTGAGCTGGTGGAACTCTTCACCCTGGCTGCCTTTCATGCATCGCCTCCCTTGTATGCTGAACCACTCCAGGATTGCATTGACCGGATCCACGAGATTTTCCAACACCTGCTCCAGCTGCCACAAGGAGAGGCGAATGCGTTCCAAGCCGAAAAGTTTCTCCAAGCAGTGTCAGGGTTCCTGGATGATACAAATGACAGAGAACCCTCGAATCTTGTAGAGATTTGGACTGCATTGGACTCTGAGCTGCCGAAGCTCGCTCCAAAGAAGGATCCGCACATACCCCAACCACCTGGACATGTCCTTGAAAAGCTTCCAGTACAGCCTATGACCGCAGAACAACGGCTGGATGAGAACCGCCGGAAGAATCCACTGGGAAGACCTTCAGCCTCCGGAAAGAAGAAGAAGAAAAAGAAGGGAGCCAAGGTGAAGCAACCAAAGTGGCGGGAGTACTTCTATGGAAATGTGCCCGTGCACTGGAACCAGGTCCAGTGGCTAGGCAAAAGGCCTGAGCCTCTCAAGCCCGAAATTCCAGCCATGTGGCAGATGGATAGCAAGGTTGACATGCTGAATCATCTTGATGATCACATCAGGAAGCACCGGGATGAGTCAAGTGCAGCCAATGTACCAGCGAGTGGCTGGGTCCTCCGCTTGCAGCTGATAGATGAGCCGCTGAGAGCACCAGCATGCCCGAAGAGTGAAGAGGTGTCCACACTCATGGAGACGGCCCTTACATCGCGAAGGTTAAAGCAATACGATGCCGCTGTGGCATTGTTGATTCGTGCTCGAAAGTTGTGGGCGGCTATTGAGGCTGGAATGACAGGCCTCCGAGAGTGGCAGGATGTGCAAAGTTTGATGCCGACACATTCTCCCTGGAACACATCTCAAAGCTCCCGCGGAGTGTTTCGGCATTTCAAGCGGACGGAGCCGGAGAAGGAAAGCAACGTCGCCCAGAGCTCGCAGGAAGTTCAGCAAGCTCAGGAAGCCCAGCAACCTGCAGATGAAGGGGACGCTGACAACACAATCCATCATGCAGAAATTGTCAAGAGCAAGACTGACACAGGAGGTTTCCAAGAACACAAGCACAAAGACTTTTTCAAAAGTTTCACAGCTGCTCCGCTAACAGCCCGTCCGAGCGGAAGCGCTTCTGGCAGCGAAGCCGGTACAACACCCCAGTCTGCACGTGGTCGAATACCCTCCAGACCAAGCCGCACTGGCGCCACTCCCAGCAGGAGATACAACCCCAAGAATGACTTTCCCTCAGCTTTGGGCGAGGACGAGGATCTGGAAGAATTGCCAGCCCGGGCAACGTTGTTCTTTTTTTGTGAACTCGCATCTTTGCACTCTGCACTTCAAGAGGATGAGCTTTCTGGATTGCTGCTATGGCGTGCCTTGGGCTGTTGCAAAACTCTTTCACCCTACGATGCCAACGCTGCCATGGTTTGGAGCGGCCTAGGTCGGGTCGCCTTCTACGCCGGCAGCTTCGAGGTCGCAGCAAGGCTCTACATGCGTGCCAGGACGATCCGAGAACGTTCACTCGGTGGTGACACCATTGACACAGCGACATCATACAACAATCTCGCCTGTTGCCTTGCTGCCTTGGATCGAGTGGTGGAGGCTGGTGCATTCATGGAGCTGGCTGTGGAGATCTTGAAGGAGTTGGCCGGCGAGGATCATCGACGCACTCAAACTGCGATGCGCAATCTCGGGAAGGTGCGTACGGCCCCAAAGAAGATCACCATGGAGGCACCATACCTCTATAGCTTGCCAGTTCATGACTTTACTCGAGATCTTCGGAGGACAAAGAAGAAAAAGAAGAAGGGACGATCCAAATCAGGAAGCTCGACACAGTCGAGCAAGAGCGGAAAGAAAAAATGATGCATATTTTTTATGTTTGGCAGCATGCTGAGCATGGATAATGTCCCGGGATCAGTTGCAAAATGCACTGAGACCAACTCGAAATTGACGCCCTCGCAGAGAGAAGAGAATCTGAGGGGGGATCAGTGTTTCACGTTGGTCCAGCTGTTGAGATGCAGGGAGCCCTGAATAGGCTTCTCTACACCGGAGAACTCGCTAGAAGCTTTTGACATTGAGGTGCCCAGGGCAATCGCTTGGTGCCGCTCCTTGAGAGCTCGCTGCCAGGACTCTGAGTGGAATTTATAAATATATATAAATATATAGACTAGATGAATTCACCAATTTTCAGAGTTATGCCTTTGCAGTGCAGTTCGTTGCAGGAGCTGCTGGTTATGTATGTGGACTTCCAAGGCTTTAACCTCCAGACTCAGGTCAGCGGTTGCCGCCTCAGAATCATTTCAAAACCGGTGGGTATGATGCCGTGCGACTAGTTGAATGCCCAGCAGTTGGCGTCAAAGCTTTGAAGCTCATGCTTGCTGAACGAACTGTAGCTACTGTAGCTCGAATTTTCCTACAAGCTGAGGCTTGTGCACTTTCCAACGAGGCAGATCATCTCTTGTCTTCGGACTCAGAAGAGGTGGCACGTTTTGGTTTGTAAACTTGTCGGGAAGGAAAGAGGAAGGAGGAAGGAGGAAGGGAGGAAGTAAAACTTGACATAAGTTGACTACCTCCTGGCAGATGAGGTTATTCATGTGTGGTGATCCAGCTTTCATGTCAAAAAAGTGTGCGCCAATGATCGGCATGAGGAGAACTTGCCACTTCTCTGTGAGTGCACATTCACTGTGGGATGTGGGGTGGATTCCTTGACCAAATCGGTGCAGATCAGCTCTTTGCAGAAACCAAGTCTTGCAAAACCAAGGCGGCAACGCTTTTGACAGAGGCAAGACTTCAGCTGAGGCTGAGGCCGGAGACTTTATCCAAAAGAGAGCAGCCTTTCGCATGAAGAACTTTTGTTCCACAGGCATCTCACACATGATCACAAGATCCCCTTTCCCGCTGAACAGCTCATTTGCACTGTTGATGATTCTGTGAATTGCTTGAAGACGTGGGGATGTGTATAGCCCGATTGGTGGCAAAGATAAGATAGTGGGAAGATAGAAGATCCTGAGATACAGATCCAGCGACTGCACATGAGATTTGATCCTAGTAGACTAGTAGACCTTCGGGGTACTCTTCTTCTTGCAAGCATGGCAGAACAACTGTTTGGAAGATATGTGGGAGCTGAGCGCCTGTGGCAACAAGCATACATTAAGTTGTGCAAGGATTGGGGAATGCACACACATATATATGTGTTGATTCGACTGTGCCGCACCGATCGTGGAACGATCATCGCATG